GCTCATTTTAAACTAGCTTTCAAGTCACTACTTCATTTGCGTTCTGATGGCTTGTAATACAGTCTCCTCTGCAGACATTTTCCCTCCTGGACAGAGGCTGTATCTTACCCAGTTCTGTCTCTTCAGCACCTCCCTCAGATGATGACAGATTGTGGGTATCTAATATATAATTGTCCAGTTAACCTGACTTGAATATGTGTATGCTGAGTATTATAGGGGAATCATTATGGTCTTTTACGACTTGTTGAAATAATTCTCTCAGTTAACCTAAACGAGAATCGCACATTAGCTGTTATAGGAAAAGTATTTAATATTAGAATTGTGTATAACTCCCAGGGGATTGTTTATGCCTGCTCTAAACATAGTCTGGGAATTGTTGACAAAGCCTGATTTAGCAGTACTTCTGTAATAAATATAGCCCAAGCCACTAGAAAAGAAAACTTACAAAGGGACAAAGGCTATGGGTTTTTTTTAGATCTAAGAATAATGGCACTGAAAAGCCGAGAGGTGAGGTCATCTCGTTCTTCTTCCTGCCCTTGATGGCAACACCTTATATCTTCCCACAGATCTGTGTGGCACTTCAATTAACAAATCCCCTGGGAGTGATGGCCCTTGGTAAAGCGTCAGCCTCGTTAAAACACTCCTCCCATCATCAATCACGTCAACGAAGCAAAGCCTCCCATCAGCAGATAAAGATGCCTCTGTACTGCTTCCATTTGTATCTTTCCAATTAAAAGCAGAGGCAGAGTTCTGCAGTGTGCCAAGTATCCCTAAACCCTTCTTTCTTCCTTCCCCTCAGTGGTGACACACTTACCTCTCTTCCTCTCATCAAACACAAAGCATCATTATAAAAATTCATTTCCCCCTTCTCAAAAGTTCCCATTTAATATAAGTTGCACTTGTTCACATAACACCTACAATTCTACAGTCACTCACGTTGAAGTGTTAGTGCAATTTGGCATTTTCCCTTCATTATAGTATATCCTTCCCTTTATTGCCTTGTTCCGGGAATTTTAGGAGTCACCAAGTAGAAAACTTATTTTTGTTCTTTTTATGTTCTCTTGGAAAGAGATGTCAGGAACAGTTTACACAAGGGAAACTGAAACTTGGATTAACCCAGTGCATGTGCTGAAATTCTAGTGACCAGAGCTGCTGGAGGTAGAGCGAGCTGTGTTTGTTCCTTCACTGGCTTTTGGAGCTATTTATCCTAGCAATTTATATTTTCTCTGCCCTGTGCCCTATCATTACCCAGTCCCTGTCTCACGGTGACACAAGACCCCCCAGTGCATATTTTATGTTTTCTAGAACTTGAGTAGATGCGTAGGTGTGTGTGTGTGTATGTAACATGTCTTTAGCACACCTATGGTCCTTATCTAAAGACCTATTTCCCTATGACATTTCTTCTTCTGGACATGAGTTTTCTGNATGTGTGTGTGTATGTAACATGCCATTAGCACACCTATGGTCCTTATCTAAAGACCTATTTCCCTATGACATTTCTTCCTCTGGACATGAGTTTTCTGATTATCTTCTCTGTTTATTTTTTGTACTTTAGAAAAAAATCTGAAAAAAAGAAAAGTCCTCCAAACTCTCAATAGTGTGTAACAATCTACTTTCTCAGGGAAATCTCTGACAAAGCTGAATTATTCAAATGGTAATGATTAACTCATAATTCTTTTTCATTACACTCAAGATAATTGCAGTCATTGCAGTAATGAGCATGCAGAACAAATGCCCGGATTATGTTCCCCAAGTCAAGACTGCACCACATTCAGAAGGATCAGTTCATCGCAGTCGTGGGTCTGGTAATTTCCTAGGGGCAACGCGTTTCCCATGAAATGAGCACATGAGTAGTTTTAAAAGTACATGAATTTCCATGATTATTTTATGTAACGCTTCATGGAAAATAAATAGAAAATTGGAGCAATATTGTATTGCACGGAAACTTTATAGAAAATCCACAAAACTGTCTAAGCAACGATGTGTCCCTGAAATAAAGAGTTAAGTGTTGTAGAGGTTGAAAGAGAATATTATATTCACGAGAGTTTTTATTAATGACTAAAAACACAGATTAATTCTACAGTGTCATGTTTTAAACTGATACAATGAAAAGAGAGTAAAGAAAGCACCAAAGCCAGGCTGAAACTGTGGAATGAGAGGGCGGCCAGAACACAGGGTGTGAGAATCTGCCATTCTTCCCCCCGAACACCCCCTCTCTGCATTCTCGTGACTGCCGCCCTGATCCAGCCCTCCAGATAAGTTCAGCTGGCCTACCAGAAATATCTCATAAGGATTATTTCACTCCAGATATCTGAGCAGTTCCCTATTACAACGAAACAATTAAATAAACATTCTTCAACCTGCCACTTAAGGCCCATAATCAATGCCCCCACCTTTACCCAGTCACCTTTCTCCAAAATCGCCTTCTGGATGTACAGAGCCACTGTGTCTACCGTCTGCCCAGACTGGGTTTAGGATCTTGTTTTCAGTTTGGTACATGCTGTCTTCCTACCAGCATATTGGGATATATTTTGTCTAATGTTTTCATACCCATCTTTATAGTGTTGTCTTATTACAGCTCTCTAAGATTTATATAGGCGGCTTTATTGCAAACCAGAGAAGGCCGTGGCCTTTACTTTTTTTTGAATTTCCCTCGTTTGTTGTGCACATTATATGTCTGCAATAAATGCTTATTAAGAATATGAAGCAGTGGAATCTGGATGGATCTACTAGGATAAAAAACAAACTTTTGTATATATAATAATAGTTATAAGAATTATATTAATGTAGTAATGAAGTACTCTCTAAGAACTGATAGACAGGATGAAAAACCAAGGACTGAATAAAGTCTACACACTTAGCAATAAAATTTCCAGCAAACTTCCCTCATTCAGGTAGAATACTCAAGGATTTTTTTTTTTTTTCCTGAACAAAATGAATGTACCCAGGAGAGAAAATACCTTCAAAAATTGGCATTTGGGGTTCCCCAATGAAATTGCCTGCTTGCCATTCAGTCACCCCATGATAAAGCCTACTACTTACGAACGTCATCCGTGCACACAGAGCTTATCACCCACTCTTTAATGTCTTGTCCTCAGATAATTTAAATGTACACATAGGATCAATAGGCATTTGAGGAAAGCCTTCAACACATAATAGAAAGACCTAAACAAGCAAACAGGAGAAAAGGAACTTAGAGAAATCAGAAACTTTACTGTAAATTGCAGAAAACTTCAAAATACAACGGTAAATGTTTAGAGTAGTGGGAAAAGATGTTACAATCATGAAACAGGAACATGAAAGAGGTTTTGAAATGAAAAGTGAGGTAGAGATGTTTTAAAAATCAATATGAATTACAAAAGATAAATATAAAGGATTTCCCAGAAAGTAAAACAGAAGAAAATAAAGAGGTAGAAAATAGAGAAGAAAGTTATGGAAAATTAGAAGATCAATCTAAGAAAATTAGAGAAATGGAAATATAGCTGCAGCTGGTGGGGAGACCAGACCATGTGGCCCTCTTGAGTGAAGATGCCTTGGCCTCTGGGTCGACATGGGAGGATCTTTGTAAAATGCAGATTTGGATTCAGTAGGTGTGAGATTCAACCTGAGATTTTGCATTTCTGACAAGCTCCTGAATGATGCCTCTACTGGCCCATGGGCCCCTTTGAGTAGCAAGGCTGTAGTCTTGTCCATCTTTGGATCTTCCCTTCACCGTCATCGATAACTCAGCCACTTTCAGAGTGAGGCCGTGAGGCGGCGAGGGATGGTGCGTGGTTCTCACATCTCTGTGCATTCGGATATGAACTCGCCACCTTTTCTCCAAAACCTCCTTCCCCTGATTATTTTTTTTACTCAATTATTGAAAACCTTATTCTCAAGAAACCCGAGCAGCAACTCTCCCACTCTCTTAATTGCCCAAATATTTCTTTGGTGGATCCTGTTTCTAAATCTCTCTCTCACTGTGTCCTGCTCTCGGCCCCTGCCTGAGCTGAGGCTTCCCCAGCTCACGTCTCTTCAACTGGACTCCAGCCTCCTCAGGAACTCCGGGCTTGAGTCTTGGCCCCGAAGAGATGCTTGTACAAGGCAAACATGGTCACGTGAGCCTCCTGCCTAAAATACTCTCATCATTCTCCGTTATTTAAAAATAAAATAAAATGAAAGCTCACTAAAATGGCATTTCAGGGTCCTTCTTTTTTTAATTCATGTGTTTTTTGGCCATTTATTTTCATTGGATAAATGTCTATTTCCTTTGCCAGTTTCTTCATTGGGTTATTTTGCTGTTGTTGTTCAGTTACAGGAGTTCTCTATATATTCTGAATATTAACCTCTTATCATATATATGATTTGCAAATGTTGTCTTCCATTCTGTGAGTTCCTTTACATTCTGTTGATGGTATCCTCTGATACACAAGTTTTTCACTTTGAAGTAGTCCAGTTTATTTATTCATTTTGCTGCTGTTGCCTGTGGTTTTGGTGTCATATCCAAGAAATCATTGCCAAATCCAATGTCATGAAGCTTTCTCCCTATGTTTTCTCCTAAGAGTGTTAGTTTTAGCTCCCATATTTAGATATTTGATTCATTTTGAGCTAACCTGTATGTAGGCTGTAGGGTTAAGAGTCCAGCTTCATTCTTCTGCCTGTGGATATCGTGCAAAAGTTTTCCCAGCACCATTTGTCAAAAGGTAGCTACTTCTTAAGCAAGGTTGTTTTCGTGGGTATTTCCAAAGCAGTTTCTTACCATTTCAAAGGTCAGGTAGATAATTATTAAGTTGTACATCACTTAAAGGTTGAAGAGTTCAGAAGATCTAAGATCATTTACATCCCTCAGGGGGGAAAAAAAATAACTTAGCCTTCCAGGGCAAAGAAGAAAGAACTAAAAAATTGCAGGACATTCCACAGGTCAGAGTACATCTGCCTGGTTTTCTTTCTCCAAACTCCCGCACTCAGTTGTTTGGAGTGGCCTCCCTCTTACCTGACAACCTAGGAGGGTTGTGAGGAACATGTCCTCATATTTTCTTTGGAGTATGGTTATTTTGTTGACATTTGCTGAATCAGATGGTGAAGTTGGAAGACTTCAGCTGGAGAGGCAAACAAGGAACACTGACTTCCAACAGTAAGTAGACACGTGGCTTATTTCTGCTAATAGACTAGGGTAGTTCCTCATCTATTTTCACAAATAGCCAGATAAGCAAAGGTGTAATTTTTCTTGGGGAAAATAATGGTATTGAAAACAAATAGGAAAAAATGTGTAGAATTTTCTTCTTATACACAAATCATTTTTTTATCATTTTGCAAATAAGGCAAATATACAATTACTAGAAGATATCGCCAGGAAATTTTAAGAGAAATAAATGACAGATGGATGAACAAGGAGAATTTAGTTGAGTTGACCACAAAGTGGTGTTGTATGCAGTCTATAATTATTCATTGAGAAGCTTCATTTTTTTGGATTTAAAAAATATATATGCTAATTATTGATGCATTCTCTGGTTTGATTTACATAGGCCTCGAATGGCTACAGAGAGAGGAAATTTAGTGTTTCTTACTGGGTCTTCTCAAAACATTGAATTTAAAACTGGATCCCTGGGGAAAATTAAGTTAAATGATGAAGACCTTGGTGAACGTTTGCATCAGGTAATCCATTGGAAATATATTGAAATAATTTTGTATATCCGTATATGGTCACTTCATTGAACAGTTCTACATTAATCCGTACCTTGAATCTTTAGCACAGGGGACAAAATTGGAGGGGACACACGTCTGTGTAAAGAGCAATGCCCTAGGGTTACTGATGGGTAGAGGGAATAATGCTAGTCACGTGCAGGCTTTCACACTCTAGTCCAGAGAAGGTGCAGAGAATTAGTACTGGGGACTCCACGAGGAGAGCAAAGAATGAGAGGGCTCAGAGAAAGGAGCAGAAGTGACCAGAGAAAGGAGAAAAGTGACCAGTTCACTTTAACCACAGAACAGAGCTGGCCGCTTATCTTCGTCCTTACTGAGTGTTTGCAGTGCTCACTCTTTGCTGCATCCGGCTGGTGCAGGGTAGTGTAGCCCCCGGCAGCGTTCAGAGCTCACTGTGGGCTCCATGGTGCTCAGCACTTGATGTGCATTATCTCATCTAACCCTACAGCTACCCCACGAGGTTGGCTTGATTATGACCCCATTTATAAGGGAGGCAAAGGAACCCTAAGGCAGTTCTGTGACTTGCCCAAGGGCGCACAAAAAGTGGCCGAGCTCAGGATTTAAAACCTGGACAGTCTGATTCCAGGCCAGGCCTTTGAACCAGCACTCTAATCTGTTACTAAGGGAAAAAATGCAAATGGAAAATACCTTGATAGATTGTTGCTGAAATGGTAGATGGAATTATGCCGTGGCTATTTTAGTCTCGTGTTTGTTATACATGGCACTGTTTTGGTTTTTATAATAATGGGAAAGATCTTTGTGTTTAAAATAAAATACTGCTCAGATTTTAAAATTTTGTTCCTATCACATACGTAAATTTTTCACTGGCATTCTCTTCCTCTTCTTCTCCCTCATATTTAAAAAAAAATAGATTCAGAAAAACAAAGATGATATTACAGATTTAAAGAGGAGTGTGGTTGGTCTGCCTCAAAATATTTCTAGTCAAATCCATCAGCTTAATTCCAAGGTGAGTCTGACGTCTCTACCGTTAGAGCAAGTGGGTTCTCCTTAATTCAACTCTGTAAGCCACCATTTTGCAGGAGATACACCAACCTTGTGTCTTCTGTAGAAATCGAACATTGTAATTATGGACTTTTTGGTTAAATGACACAGCTCTAACAGAGGATGTGGCTGTGGTGATGGGCAGAATGTGGGAAATGCTGCGGCAAGGGCTTGTTGCCTAAGTAGCCTTGCTCATGTTCTGATAGCAGCCTTCTTAGCGGAGAAGTGGGTGAATCCCTGTCATTTATAAAATTTATACAGTCACTGTGTGCAGGGGAGCAAGGAATCAACCTATCAGTTGGTGGTTCTTTTTAAAATGGTTTTAAACAGATCTGCATGATGAAGGAGAAGGGAGGGAAGCTTGGAGGGGAGAGGGGGGAGAAGCGAAGGAAGAAAGAAACAGGTAAAGCGAGTCCTTCAAAGAGGGTCTTAGGAAAGCATGTCAAGCGGATAAGATTTTATAGAAAATGCCTTTGAACCAGGTAACTGATGCTCTTTCCCTTCCAATTCTAGTTTGTGGATCTTGAGAGACAATTTCAAAGCTTACAGCAGGTAAGTCCCATAAGTACTGCGTATCTAACATCTTCTGTCTAAAATAAACTAGGATCATTGATGAGCCTAGTATTCCTACCTTAAGATGGAAGGATGATTAATATCAAGGACTTTGATTTTTCCCCATAATTTAATTCTCATTATAGTTTATGCTTCCCAAGATAGGATGAGGAACCTGGGTCTCGAAGAGATGAAGTGACCAGCCCAAGGTCACGGCAAGGGGGCATGTGAACCCTGGAGGCCTCCGACGCAGTTCAGCAGTGCCCACGCTCTTCCTCTTATGCCACCGCACTTCAGTGGTGTCGTGTGGGCTGACGTGAGCTGTATCTGGTCAGCTACCCACCCAACTTGCTGATTTTGGCATCAAGGACTAAGTTTTGAAGGCCATGTAACTTCTCTAACATTAAATTCAGGAGTTTTGGGTGTATCATAAATATTCCAAATTTCCTTTAAAAATAAATTTGCTGGTAACTAAATTTGAACAGTTTCTTAGGGTATACCTTCCATTACTGTACTGCGTGCTTATAAACTAGTCCTTGTCAGTTCAGACTTTTTACCCCTTTTGTAGTAGGCTTGTGTTTTTGAGAATTTCGTGGAAGCCATAACCTTCTCCCCAAAGAAATGCACAGAATGTCCCATATTTAAAATTTTTTTAAAAAGTCAGGGGATTCCAGGTTAGCAATCTCTGCCCTAATTTTCCATATCTGTTTTGATTATGCTTCAGATGTTGTCTTCTACTTTGGTGTTTTAAATTTGGCAAACAAGTTTATTTCTTTCTTTTCCTGACTTTGGTAATAAATTGCATGCTTAGCCTTGATCTTTTAAGGGGGTAGCTAAGTGAATGAAAATGAGCGAGGAATCATACCTGTGGAGCAAGACAAAGCACTAGAGTTTCCAGTCTCCTAGAATGCTTCATTATTTCTACTGAACATCTAGAACTAGAGGCCATGATCAAAATTAGCTCAGACTGTCCTTCTTACCATCCCCCCAGGAAGAATTTTTAATGTTTAAATGTAAGTGCCTTTATGCCTCTGCATAGGGCAAGTGCTCTCTGGGCACTACAGTCTCCACTATTCCCTATTGTCTTCCTCCTGACTGCTCAGTGATTCCATTTCCTGTTTGTCCCCCTTAGGCTTTTATGTTTCTATTCCCCAGACAGAGTTGCTTTTGTACACCAGAAAAACTTTTAATGAGATTGTGGTTAACATTCTTAATAGTGTCCTTTGATGAACAGGGCTAATTGTGGTGCTGCTACAAAGATAGACAAACAGCATAATGGAAGAAAACAGAGTCCAGAAAGAGACCCTCCCGTGTATGGTCACCTGACTTATGACAAAGATGGAGAGAGAATGGACTTTGCAATAAATGGAGCTGAGACATTTAGTTGGCTGTCCTCCAGCTCCCAGTTTCCTCTAGAACGAAAGGAACAGACTTGATGTTCTTTGTGAGTTGCTGAATATTAAAAAATATATAGTGAATAATTTGCTCCTGTTTTAATTTTTAAAACATAGAGTTAGACTAGGATTAGGTGAAATTAATGGGATCGCTTTCTTTGCCTAATCACTTGTCCTCTCTAAAGTTTTCTCTGCACCCCCCCAAACCATTACAAATCTTACAAGACTGGAACCGGTAGCTGACATATTCCCCAGGCTGTGCAGACAAAGGCGGCCTGTTTGTGACTCCAGTCTGAAAGTAGTCATGTGAGCATGAGAGCGGAGGGTGTATCTAAGCTGGTCACATTTCACACAAAGGGGCTGGGATGAAAAGGGTTCAGTCATCTTGACCTTGGGAGGCGGGGTGACAGCAAAAGATGATCCTATTTCAAATGCTTATCTGGAGGTACCAAAGATAACAATGACAGCAAAGGGACCGCAATTTCCATTCTATTTTCTTAGCAAAATAGGAATGTCCATTATTATTCCCACACCTGAAGTCTTTACACTTGGTACCAACATATATGTCTCTGGTGGATAATGTTTTTCCAAAGAATAGAGGAAGAACCTTCTCACCTCGTGTTTCATCCCACCTGCGGCTAAGGGCATGTAAATAGTGAGGGAATATGCATAGGACCTATAGAAACACTCATTTTTTCAAAAGAGACTGGATTTGAAGAAGAATCTAAGTAATTGATTTAAAACCTGGGGGAAGACCTCGGTGACTGGAGCAAAATGTATTTTTATATACACACCTGCAGCGAAACGCGCCTTTCACTGCTGCCCACAGCAAGCGCGATCGTCTCGCTGACCGTCCTGTCTCTGTTTCAGACGGTGGACAAAAAGGTTTGCAGCAGCAATCCCTGCCAAAACGCTGGAACCTGCCTCAATCTTCATGATGCCTTTTTCTGTATCTGTCCTTCACAGTGGAAGGTGAGTCACCTGGCCTTCGGTTGAAAAGGATGGTGAGTGAGCGAGCATCTGTGGTTTCCTTGGAATTGTTCAAACATATTTAATTTTCCAGCCAAAGTTTCTAGGAGGCTGTGGTCTTCTGAATCACAATGAATTATACGATGTATGTCAAAATCCAACAAAGGCAGGCATGAAATACAACCCACTAACTGCTAAGCCTTCTTAAAGAGGGGTTCCTGTGAGTGGATAACTGCATGGAAGAGCATGCTATTTCGGTGAACGTTCATTTAAATTGTTTAGCATCAAACGTACTAAAGAAATCTGACATAGCCGTGTGAATGTTCTTGCTCTGTCCTGTTAATGGTGAAGATGTTTCTGACCTGTAATTAAAATAAACTTGGTGAGTATCCCAGGCACAGCGCCATCGTGAAATGAGAATTTGTTTGCATAGGACTCTTCTTGTGTGATGGGTGTTTTCTCATGAAGAGCTCTTGGGCTCTATTAGGCGAAATCTGAGTTCCAGAGGAAGGATAGCCAGAGAGTAATATTAGTACTAGTATTACTGTATTTGGCTTGACTGAGATGTCTTCACTGCTGTGGGTAAATCCTTGAACATCTCATTAGAACTTGGCCCCAGATGCCTCTGTAACCTGTGTACCTGCCTTTGTTCTTTACATGGACACAGGGTCCTCTCTGCTCAGTTGATGTTAACGAATGTGAGATTTACTCGGGAACCCCCTTCAGCTGCCAGAATGGAGCCACCTGTATCAATACAATAGGGAGTTACAGGTACCTTTTTATTTTTTCTCTCCCTTTCTGTATTTTTTTAATTAAATTTATTGGGGTGACATTGGTTAATAGGATCATAGGTTTCAGGTGTGGGTTTCTATGTTACAATATCTGTGTACTGCACTGTGTCCCCAAAGTCAAATCATCTTCTGTCACCATGTATTAGGCCCTCGTCACCCCCCATGCCCTCTTCTGCTATTTTTTTCTTTAAACAGCAAGCATTAATTTTTCACACTCATGGTTCGTAGATTGGCCACGATGGCTCTGCTTCAGTTTAGGTTTGGTCTGCATGTCTCGTTCTTGGGCTGGGGACTGAGAAACAACAGCTACCTGAGGAATGTCCTCATGGCAGAGGTCAAAGGCCTCAGAGGGTTGAGCAGAAGCATGTAAAGGCTCTTAAAGCTTTGAGTAAAAACTATCACTTTTGCATATTTAAAAAATATATTAGGATGTGTTTTTCAAGAACTAAAACATCCCGTAGTTTAGCGCATCCGGGATTAACTATCTGTATTAGCAGCAAAACTAGGTGCTCCATGGGGAAATATGTAGCTCTTATTTAAAGTACACATAACTGTTCACCTAGAGCAAGAAAAGCTGCATCCTCAACTCTCACCCCACAAAGAAAGCCTTTCTCCAGAGGCCCTGAGGAACTGGAAGAAGCTGCTGTGCTAGCATAGAGAGTAAGGATGGCATGGCACAAGATGAGGCTGTGGTTAGTAAGAGTCAGAGATTGAAGGAGCACCCACCTAAGAGGAGCAGGTGTGGATGAAAAGGGGGTTCCAGGGAAAGCAACCTCTCGGGGTGATTTGATCATAAATTCCTACCTGGGCAGGTCATGCTGGGCAGTGAGGCCTATAACTTCCCTAGTAAAAAGCTTGTCTTTGCCTTAAGCACAGCCTGTCCATTGTTTCTGTGCATCTAGGGTAACACACCTTTGAAAGGCCCCCTCGGTCTAAAGCTTGACCACTCTCAAAACAGTATATAACTTTATTCTATAATCCAGGTTTTGACTTCCTTTCTCCCACCTTCATGTAATCTTCCTTACGTTCTCTCCTTAATCTCAAACGAATAAAAGAAAGTGCAAACTGTTATTATTATGAACATTTTTCTCGGTCTGTTGAGATCTTGCTTCCAGGCATATCCTGGTTTGAATCAAATAAATTGTTATAAAAATTCCCCACAGGTTTGGAGATTCTTACGTCACCAAGGGCTACCCCGCTGTAGCAGTGAGCCACTGCTGTGTTCACGCAATAGATATAGTAAGGATGTCTTCATTCAAGTGCATTGCCACAGGTTTCCCACAACAAGATCAGATTGAACTGAGGTGTTTTTTTTCAGATAGTTAACTCTCACTGCCTTTCTTCAGTTAGTGACAAGGCCCCTCGCCACATGCAGCTCCCATCTTCTCTTCTGACTGACCCTGTCAAGTGGCTTGTCTACAGCACTCCCCTGCTCAGCTCAGGCTCTGCCCTCACCAGGGAAACTTCCCTTCCCCTGCATCACAACACCTCCATGTTCCCGTCAAATTCTAGGAATACTGGCTGACATGCTATCTTTCTGGACAAACAAATCCAAAAATTTATGATAGATCAACATCAAACTTTCTTCTGTTTGAAAGTGGTTTCTTAAAATCACTTTCTAAAATATCTCTCAACATTATCTTTCCCCATATATTGGTTGGTCCCTTGTACTCTGTGATTATTAAAAGATAAAGAAATTGGTTTTGTCACTGCATGAACGGTCTTTCAGTGTTCTCGGGTTTAATCTCACCAGAGCGAAGAGCAATTATTTGCTCTTACTAGTGTCTCTGCTCTCTTGTCCTTCAATCCCCTCACAGTGATATTCATTCTGTTCTCTCCAGCAAAAATAAGTACAGAAATTTTGTTTTTTCTTTCCTGGTCACCTGTAAACACACTATTTTTTCAAAAAGCAGTCACAAATCTCTTTTTCATTTAATTGATTTTTTTGTTCTTTTGATCTGATCTTAAAAATGTTTTGTTCCATCTAAGTTATAAGTTTAGCTCAATGAAACTCCTGATAGAAGAGTTGTCATTGTGTGAAACCAAAATTAACCACCTCTAACTTAAATTAAGTATTATGTTACTAAAGGGCTTTTGACCATCAGGATTTTATTTCTCATTTAAATGACCCTCCCCCATTCCTGCTTCTATGAACATTCAAGCTTGGGCCAGATCCAGAATGTGGGTCTAATCTTTCATTCTCTTAAAAGCTTTATCTCCTGATATATGTTTATGGGCATTTGTCAAGGAGAATTGCTGCCTGAAGACATTAGTGGCAAATGTCCCGACTCCTAGCACTAATACTTTATTGCCTTCCTGATATCTAGGAATGTCTTGGAAATTAGATCTCACCCTGGCCTTCATTTATCGTCACTGTCTCCTGGGGTCTTGCAAGGCAACAGAACATCAAAGGTGTGCAAGTGGGATGAGATCCATAGCGAAGGCAAATTTATTTTATTCCACAGCACATTATGTCCCCACCAAAAACACCCACCCCTGCAAATAGAAAAGAAAGCCTTTAGCACAGCTATTTCCTGCGTGCCAGGGGCGAGGATTCTTTGTCCAGATACAAACGGGAGGGAGAATGCTAGAGATTTCTTTCTGCTGTGAGCTGCCTAAACAGTAAACAGCAGATTCAACTCTTAAGAGCAATGCTGAATTCTCTCTTGCACCCACCTCAAAAAGACAGCCCAGAGACGCACTGTGCTGCCTCTCGAAATGGTTCTGGTTTCTAATCTCTGCCCTTTATGGATTTGCCGGAGAATAGTAGAGAGAACATTTAAATCTAGTTTCTTCCTCTTGATATGGGGATAGTTTATGAAGCCTCATGAATTCCATTTGATTTTCTACAACATAAACTCAGGCACACGATAGAGACTTTTGAAGGAATAAAAGTACATAGAAAAATGCGCCTGAGCATAAGATTAAATTCTTGCTTGTGGAGCCTGTGTCATGAAACAGCCATCACTTAGAGGCTTCCGTGAGTTCGATTAATTATGTGAGGTTAAATCCTCATTAGTCAGTAGCTTCTCCGAGGCTGGTAACCCCTTCGGGAAACTCTGGACATTTGCTAAAGTTAAACTTGAGGGGCTGTTGAATGATCTGGAGCTGCAGCAATGGGGTGAGCAGTTTTCTCAAGGGCTGGGGCGTCCTTCGCTCTCTAACTCTGGGAGCCCGTTGACTTGGGGACAAAGGCGTCTTTATTTAAAGGGATTATAATTCCTACTTTGAAAGATAAAGCACTGTGCAACTGCTAATTAACGGACAGCCCTATTTCATAGGGAAGTTTCTGGTTAAAATTCTTTTTTAGGGTAATGAAATAGAGCAAGGAACACTCTCAGCTGTTTCAGCCTAGGAGGTCTTGCGACTCCAGGCCTTGCTGGGACTGCTCCGGGCACTCCCAGCCCACACTGCCCCACTTCCCGGTGCTGCTGTTGCCCCTTTGTTCTGAAGAATTGACTTTTTTAAAAAACTTATCATTATTGTTGAAAGTATTACAGGTGTCCCCCCCTTTTTTTTCTTCTTAGTGTTCTGCTTACTTTAGGTTAAGACCGCCCCTGGGGTGCGAGTGTGCCAGGCCTGGGTGGTGTGTGTATGTGCTTCGGGCTCGGAGAAGTCTGTCTAGAAAAACTGTTGAGTCTGTTGTTTGTTTTCCTTTCTCCAGGAATACAAGGATCATTAGCATGTTTTATTTTCTTTATCTCCATTCTTATTACTGGTGGATTTTAAAACATGGAGAGTTTAAACCATGAAGATGGTCTGGTTTTAGCTCAGATAGTAGTTAGGTATTAAATTTATTACCTCTTTCAGTTAGTCGGTTGTGTTAACATTGAACCATGGACTCTAAAGCAAGTTAAATTATGACTATGAAGGCATATCTGCCCTCTTCCAATTGCCAAGTGTACTTGTAATGATTTTGAAGACTGAAAAGCCTAGTTTGTTTTACTGGAACCAAATCAGCAATAGAAGGTCATTACGAAAGTGACTTCTGCAGGGAGGTGTACAATTCATTACTCTTTTTCTTTAAAGGCCATGTCCAGATACTTTGAGAATGCATTTTACATGCAAACAGTTATGCTAAAAAGACATAAAAAGGGAAAGTCTTCAACTAACTTTACCTTTCTGGGTGTGGGAATGTGACCTGGAAAAACAATGGTGCAGGGGTAACATAGGCTTTGGTTTTAATCAGCTTCTACAAGTTTACAAATTCTGTGGCCTTGGCCAGTGTGTGAGCCTCACCTGTAAAGTGGGACTATTGTGTTTGAGAATCACAGCAAGGGAGCCGATAGTGTAGCACAGGCCTCTTTCTCCCCACGTCTTTCTTATCACATTGTGTAAACTTAAATGAGAAGTGTACTTGGTAGGTGTGCGGAGGAGAGTTTAGGATTTAAATGAACTCATCTCCAGGTGATAACAGCGAGTGAGAAGGAGGAGAGAGATAAAGTGAGAGAATTCAACTGCAAGCCCACGAACCAGAATCTCCTCTCAAATCCCAAGTCATTGTCCAATAGTAAAGCCTTTAGTGATAAGATAAACATAATTTCCTGAGCACTTCCTACAGGCAAAGGTCTTTAGATCCTAAGATGAAAATAGTATTTACAGATTGCACTATTATTTTATAAGAAATAGAAGCAGAGGGAGTTATTACATTGTCTGAGATAAACAGTTATAGGTCTGGTCAGTCAGGTCCCATGAGGTCAAGAATACTCAGGTCTTTCACACATGATAGACTCAGAAAGCTAGTGATAGTTGGTTTAAAGATGTAAAAAAGATTTTTGGCAGGTGGAGGTGGTGCTAAAATAAACTTTTATCAAGGGAGCCACCTGGATCAAATGCTCAAATATGTATATGAAATAGCCTGAAGTTCTATAATCTCTAAGAATCTAATTAAATTCTCCAAAAGAATAACCTTCATAAGGATGGGAGGGAGCAAAGGTAAGAGAATATGAGAGGGAGAGTATGGAAAGAGAGAGGAAAGGAAGACAAATAACTTTTGGTAGGAAATGAATAATGGAATTTCTTTTTAAGTTTAATCATCTATTACTATTAATCTATGACTTAATCTTAATGAGAAAGGCATCCCTGGGATGCTCAGAAATGTGATTTTTTTATTGGAAGAGCTTTTACACAATTATATATTGGTGTGGCAAATTGCATGGGATGTATGCAGACCAAAAAGGTATTCACTTATCTGAAATTCACATTTAACTGGGCATCCTGTAACTTTATGTGCCAGCTCTGGCAACACGTCACGTGGGTGCCCGAATGGTACCCACCGTATCCTTACTCTCCATCTCTGGCCACATTCATTGATACCTTCTTCATAGATCCCACTCGAAGGTGCCAGCCCAGCAATTGTTTCTGGGCTCCTCCATGGGCACGCCAAGTTCTGTGCCCCGCGTGTGACTCCTGATGCCTCTCAGAGAGCCAAACTCCCGTTTCCCACACTGTCAATCACATGCTTGTTTTCATCCATGGGCATCGGCTGAACTTGTGCCTCAATGGGTGTTGTTAAAAGAGCGTCTTTACTTGTAGAGTGGCGCCTTTTCCAGAACCCTCAGAAACAAGTTCACGGTTCATGGCCATGCAGCTCCTCCCTGTTCCTGGCCTCTGACCCTGAGCCTCAACAGTCGGTTTCCTCCAGGGGGTCCAACGCTGTCCAAACAGGGACCTCTGGGCCTGGCTCTCCACTCCATGCCCTGTGCTCAGATACGTGGAAATAACATTGGGCTCGGTGACTCGTCTGCCCCTTCCACCTCCCCCAGTGCCGTTCTCACACCTTCCACGTTGCCTTGGAAGATGCAGTGCAGATATAAAGCTAACCCAGCAATGTTAAGAATTATACAAAGCTTAAAGAAAATTTCAAACAACTTTGCTTATTTGGTTATTGTCGAACTAAAATCTTGTAACAAAGCACCTATGGCCAGCTTGGGTATTATGTAATAATTACTTCTTGTGAGTTAAAATGTTGCTATGAAAGAAGTGTTACTAAGTCCAGTATATCTCGTGGATAGAAGAAGTATTGCCCTTTGTAATATAATAATAATTATCATGGATGTAGATACCGTATTGCTTGTGGGGCTATACAATCCTGGAGAACACTCGGGAAATTATCAGCTCCGTTAAGGTCACCTGGGCTTACCAGTGGGTCCACCAGGACAAATGATGAATGGACTTGCTGATCTTCTTAACCATCGGGATCAAACTCTTAGTTTACAGCTGTGGGACCTTTGAAAGATTTGATGACACGATAGCAGAAAAATTTATAGTGGCAGTCTTGCCCAGACAGTAAGTCCTGCCTCTCATACTAGTTGAGACGATGACATGTTTACTGATCGCACTGCTCAAAGCAGAGCAGAGGGGTTTCCTCCCAAGACTTCAGCCAGTAAATCTGGTTTGCTGGTTTATGCTTCCATGTGAACATCATTGACTTGAAATTGGAATTATTATTTTTTTATTGATGCTAAGAAACAGGCACTCACCCTGACACAAGCCCTGACATTGCACTCTTGTGTAACCAACAGTTGTCTCTGCTCACCTGAGACGTATGGCCCACAGTGCGCATCCAAGTACGACGACTGTGAAGGGGGCTCCAAGGCTCTCTGTGTCCATGGCATCTGCGAGGATCAAGTCCGAGTACAGGCTGGAGAGGTGGGTCCTTTCAGACAGTGACTCCTTGGAGGGAGTCAGGGTCATTTGTCTGGCATCTGTGTGACTATGTGCAAGCATGGCCCTGTGAGGCTGCAGAGGAGAAGCCGCTGCAGGGCACAGCTGAGGAAGAAGATGAGGGTTGTCTGTAAATAAGCGGAAAACTGGATCCAGAAGTTCAGATGTCATTATATAAGTGACTAACGTTTTTATTATTCCCTCATGAATCTGTCTGTGAGATAAGACTTTCTCTTGGCCTTGTGAGTTTTCACAGTGACAAGACATGGAGACACAAAAGGCCCAGTCTGGTCAGCCACATGCAGTTTTAAGGAGTCTGGATTTTTTTCCTGGTCCCTGTGACCGCTGCAGACTCTGTGAGCCCACTTCCCTGATGGCCCTGTGCTTGGGGTCCTGACAACCTTGACTCCTGACCCTCAAGGTCGCCCAGTCCCTGCCGCTTGGCCTTGCATGAGACCTTCCGGTCTTTATTTTTAGTTCTATTTTTTCCTATTTACACGATGGAAAATGGTTCCCTTCCAGTGATGGTGGATGGGAGGGGAAGGAGAGACTTGCAAAAAGGAAACAAACAGAATTGATTTTCCAAGGTCTGTGCCTACATGGGTGTTTTTCCCTCTAAAAACATAGCCGGCTGAGTTGATTGACTTTAATTATATTGACCTGCAGTTCTGGATTGTTGTTGCTCTTTGCCTGGCATCTTTGGGGCAAATTATAGGTTTCCCTTACTCTGAAATAAAGATGTTTGTCTTTTTGCATGGTCTGGTCTAAATGCTTAATCCTATGGGAGGAAAAAGGGAAGCCACTCGATTGCCTTATGGAAATGGACGTTGAGGGATAAACAGTCGGGGGCTTGGTGAGATCCTTTCAGAGGCTGTCTTGCTCAATTTTCTTGGTTTTCTTTATTCACGCCCTTGCAGCCCAAGTACAGCTGCATCTGCGATGCTGGCTGGACGTCCCCACCCAACAGCTCCGCCTGCACGCTGGACATAGACGAGTGCAGCCTCTGGCCGGCGCCTTGCTCAGCACTTGTGCGGTGTTTCAACACCCCAGGCTCCTTCTATTGCGGGGCCTGTCCCACAGGTACGTGGGCGCGTCTACGCCCAGCCAGAGGCACCGTGCCGGGTGCCGCCCGCCAGCCAGGCAAGGTGCCAGAACCAATCTCCCTCCACTGCCCCAGGATAAGGAGGCCCTTCTTAGGAGGCATCCCAGTCCAGTTTTAGGTCCTATTTCACTCACTCCCACTCCAGACCATCTCCCTGCTGTGACAGTTGAACAACAGGAGTGGGTGGTCTGTCCCAAGCTGTGCTAGAGTCAGACATCGGGGGCAGGGTTAGCCATGGTTTGTAGGTCAAGCATTTTATGTTGACATCAAACTGACTAGACTTGAGACCAAAAGACATGGGTTCTAGTTCCACCTTTTACACCAGCCAGATGTTTGTAAACTCGGGCAAATTGTTTGCCTCTTAGTGTCTCTGCTTGAGTCCAGCAGTTCTTGCCTGGGTGTGTCATTAGATCTGTGGCCTTGCTGTATGGGGACATCCAGCTCCATCACAGACACATAGGGACCAAATCTCCAGCGGAGGTCAAATGTGAAGTCATTGAAAACGTGACTCTGGACTCAGAGGGTGCCTGGGTGTGAGTCCCCACCTCATCCCTTATCACGGGGGAGGGGGTGTCATCATTACCCACTTAATGCACCTACTATGAACAAAGTACTGTGCTGGGTGCACTGGTGGGAATTAACCAGATCTCAGAGAGTTTACAAGGCTGTCTGCACTCCTTGGGTGTTTAGAAAGTGGAGCACAAAGACGATATAATAGCAGCTATTCTCTTATGGAGATGTCATTAAGGCACCGTGCTAGGCAATTTTTAATTCTCGCAGCTACAACAAAAACAAGAAATGTCAGCAATTCGTATTATTCCCATTTTAAAATATAAGAACTTGAGGCTTAGAGGAGGTAAATAACTTACCCAAGGTCACGTAGCTCGTAAACAGCAACGTTCACACCCAGGTCTGCCTGGCTGGAGCCGGGCTGTGCTGCTGAGCACTGTTCTGATCCACCCAGGACCCGCCACCTACGCCTTTATTTAGTGGCTTTCCTTTCGGTTTCCTGAACTCATGTTTAGAGCTTGTAAAAGGCTTGAAACATTCTTGTAGTTTTGACCATTTGAATGATGAGTCATTAAACTTGTAATAATTGACTAAAACAGAAATGTTTAGAGTAAAACATTTTCACCTTCAGTCTCCGAAGGAGACCCCTATGGCTCCCAGTCTACCTTTCCTCTCACTCATACAGACACATGGACACATGTGCAAGTTTAAAATAATTATTTCTGCACATTGGGATCACATCCTGCATGTTATCCTAAAATTTTGTATTTTCATTGATTTCCTTCTATATGTGTGTGCATGTTATTAAAAATAGTTTATAATATTCAATGGTATGGATGAGTCATAAGACAGCAGCTGTGCCCTATTGACCATTGCCTATTTTTTTATACACTGGCACTTTTATCCGTGTAATAAATTTTAAGAAGTGGAATAGTTAGTCAAAAAGTATGTATTTTAAGGAATGCAACGAATGCTGCTAGATCTCTTTCCAAATAGGTTTTATTAATTTAACTTCTGACTAACAGCATATAAGAGTAACCCAATTGCCCACCTCTTTGCCAGAATTTGATTCTAAAAATTTCAAACAATTTTTGCCAATCTGATAGCTGAGGGTATTTCATTTTAACCTGTAGTTCCTTATCACTAAGTAGGTTTTTATGTGTTTTTGACTATTTTCTTTTCTTCTTTATTGATTCATCTGTAGAGTTAACTTTTCAAATCTTCTTATTTTTCTAGGCTGGCAAGGAAATGGATATGATTGCCAAGATATCAATGAATGTGAGATAAATAATGGCGGTTGTTCTGTCGCTCCACCTGTTGAGTGTGTGAATACACCTGGATCTTCCCACTGTCAGGCCTGTCCACCAGGTACGACACTAAATTTCCTGATTCCATTACACACAAACTGTACATTTAAAAACGGGATCTTTTCCTCCATTTTAAATATGACTTCTATCCAAGGAGATAAACTGAACAGACTGGAAGGTTTTACTTAACTTACGGATTCAGGGCTTATTAGTACAGGGCTGTATTGTAAGAAATAAATAAAAAGATTTTTGAATATCACAGGAAAACAACAGGCCTTTAAAAACTGCGAGAGAGCTTACTGAGATCATGCAGAACTTGAAAACTTCCCTCTGAACCTATAGCTCCATTGCTCTCACAAATGATTTATTGCTACGATGTGTACATGAGAGTTTTACATATAAAGTTTACTAAATAACAGTCATGTAATGCATGTTAGTTTTCCGTCTCATATGGAAAGAAGTCATTACTGCTGTTCTCTAATCTATATTGAGTTACTATCCAGGAAGTTCAATGAGTTCTAAGGGATTAACTGAAACACTATATGTTTCATTAACGCAAAACAGCAGCACTTTGGACTTCTACAATAATTTAGCTCGAAGATCATCAAGTCACTGCAATTTTAAAATGTCAACTTTTTTAGCGTCAGCACTAAGCGTACCAGTAGTTTCATATATATTTTTAATTCTTATTTTGTAATCAGAAACAACCAAGAACATTGTTTCTGAGATCAGGTTCCTAATTCTTGTTGTCCTTTTTCTCAATGATGGGATTTTGTTTATGACACTTTACCTGTTCTGCTCGATGATAGAGGATCCCTGGTTGGCCTGGTTCATGGTATTTGATTCTCAGACTGGGAATCTTCTCCTTGAACATTCTTAACGTTGTTTGTCGTGCCCCTGCTCCTGCTGTGATCAGGGTACCAGGGCGATGGGCGAGTGTGCACACTCATAGACGTCTGCTCGGTCAACAACGGAGGCTGCCACCCACACGCGTCCTGCTCCTCCGCTCCAGGTAGCCGCTCATCTCTCCTCTGCTTTGGGGTATTTTAATACGACCTTATAAAACAAATCAGCTTCTTTAAAATCAAAATCCTCTCCCCTCAAAATTCTTATTTTGATCTTCAAACCAAAAATTAATCCATGTTATAAAACTGTACATTGGGATTTTTTAAAAAATGCAGTGGACTGTGCTCTTTTATGATCTGTTCTAATTTAGCAATTATTTTTCAAGGTAATTAAGTCAGCTTCTTAATTCATAATTGTATTTCAGCAAGCAGGGAGGAGAAAAGGAGGAAGGAGGGCATGGCCACCTTTTAAGGATTCTTTTATTTCTATGCCATTGGCCAGGACTGAGCCTGGTGGCTAACCTGGGCTGCAAGAGAGGCTGGGACATATAGTCTTTATTTTAGGTGCCCATACCCCTAATTAAAATCATGAATAAGGAAGGGAAAAATGGAGCTAGGGAGATAACCAACAGTGTCTGAAATGCTGTGTAAAAGAAGCTTCAACTCCTATAACTTTTAAAATACATATTGCTAAACTTTCAGAAATGTTGTACCAATATATATACTCACCAACAAAAGTATGAAAATATACATTTACCCCAACCTTGACAACAATGAATACTATTGTTGTTTTTCATTGTAGCCAATTTTATAGGCAAAATTTGCCGTCCTGTTATTTTAATTTTGGCTAAATTAAAATTAAGTTTTTGATTACTGATAATTAATAATTAATGCTTTTCACATATTTACTGGCTATTGTTTTTATTTGTTCGTGTCCTTTGTTCATTGCTTATTGATTTGTAAAATTTCATTATGTACTGAGGACATTATTTCATTATCTGTGTTATATTTTACATGTATTTTTCCTGGCATGTTGTTTTAATTTTTTCATTTTGTGGTGGTATTTTTTATTTAGAAATTTAAAACTTTTATGTAGTCAAAATGGTAAATTCTAACGGATTTCTCCCATTAAAATTAGGCCGTCCCTACCAAACAAACCAAATATTCAAGTACATGTTCTTTTAAATTTTTAATTATTTTAAACATTAAGATCTTTGATCTTTTTAGGATTTACGTTTATCTATAGCATCAAATAAAGATCTAGCTTGATATTTTTGTCCCAATGGGTGGCTGTCCCCAATTCAATTGAATAATGTATCATATATTTTGCTATTTCAAAATACCACTTTTATATTTACTAACATCATATATATGCACATGTATAAAAGCACACACACACACACACACATTTATGGTTAATAACATGTTTATTAAATGATTAACGGCATACTAAAGTGGTTAAGAGCATGAATTCTAGAAAAACACTGCTGGGATTTTGACTTTTCCCTTGGCTCCACTATAGATCAGCTTTGTCTTCATCTGTAAGTGGGGATAATAATAGTACCTACTTGAGAGGATTAAGTTAGTCACTATATCGACGGTGCTTGCAACAGCCCAATCATCAGATCATCCTAAGAATACTCGTTTCTGCTGTCAACCCCTCCATGGTGAGAAACTCCCCTTTCCCTCAGAGCACCTCACGCTTGTGCACAGCTCAAGACCATGACACACAGATCAGTGTCATCCTATATAGAGCATAGAATACATATAATGCCTTCCTTATTTTAAAATTAAAAATAGAAAAATAAAGATTCTAGTGTATTCTCCTCCTACCTTGTCTTGCCTGCCCCAGGGGCCTGCAGACTTGACTTGGACGATTTCTTGTCTAGACAACGGAGTCTGAGTTTTGTTACTGGGTCTGAATCGAGGAGACCTGTATTCACACTTTCACTTTTATTTCTGAACAGGTTCCTTACCTCTCTGTACTTGTCTCCCGGGATATACTGGAAATGGTTTTGGCCCAAATGGATGTGTGCAACTCAGTAATATTTGCCTGAGTCGCCCCTGTTTAAACGGACAATGCACTGTGAGTCCTTTATTTTTCCTGAGGAGATTATACTTGAGAATAATTTTAGTTTCACATCTCTGCAATATGTTTTCTATGTCATTACTTTTAAGGTAATGATTAAGCTTAAGATAAGGAACTGCCAATAACTTTCAGATGAAATATAGGTAGTAACTGCAGTTACCAGGAAAAACCAATGAGTTAATTTTTTCTCTCAGTGATTTACAGAGTAGTAAAACAAAGCCTACAGTTTGATCCAGATAGATCCAACTTGCACTTAGTGATCACCATTTAAAAGAATTAATATAAGTTAGGCCACTGGAAGGTGCTTGTGGCTCAATACCTGCTGCATACATCACGTAGCATCACTTTTCTTTATTATTTGGGTTGATTTGAGTTTATTGTCTATCGGTTTATTCTATAGCATTATGTTTTTCTTTCCTTAGGAAACAGTGTCCGGTTATCTTTGTAAGTGTGATTCAGGTTGGGCTGGTATCAACTGCACAGAAAACATCAACGAGTGTCTGAGCAACCCCTGTTTGAATGGGGGAACATGTGTGGATGGCATTAACGCCTTCAGTTGCGAATGCACACGTTTCTGGACTGGATTTCTCTGCCACATTCCCCAGCAAGGTATGCTCAGCATTTCTTATACCACAGATGCTCACAGCTTAAAATTATCACCATTTAATGAGTCCTAGTGTGGATTCTTCGACTGAACTTACTTTCTTGTCTAATTGCTCAGATGCTTAGAACTAAGTGTTTCCTGACAGAAAATGTATAGAATTCACAAGGTAAATCTATATCTCAATTTAAACCTCAAGTACGGTTTCATCAAAGGAAAAATTTGCCCTTTGCATTATGTCCATTCTCAAAACAAAATATGCTACTGTATTGTAGTTTTCTAAGGGCGAGTTTTCTCTAAAGCAGCCACTAAATTTCCCTAGAACATTCCCCTTAATCACGTCACTCTTCTGCCCTAGAATATACTGGCTTCCCCACTGCCTGTTAAGTAAAGATCGGGAGTATCTTTCAATTATTCCCTATAACCAGGCCTCATCCTATCTGTCTAACTTTAGTTTTCATTAGTTCTCTAAAAATACTCCTCTCAAGACAAGCATCTTTTCTTACTATCTGACCCCATNCACTCTTCTCAAGACAAGCATCTTTTCTTACCATCTGACCCCATGTGCTGCCATGAATATCTCTGCCTTGTCTCTTTATTCCGGATAGTTCTCTCCCAAACTTCTCCAAATCTTCTTGGCCTCCCATCCAAAGGCATGTCACCGTATGGATGTCCCCCATACAGNTTCTCCAAATCTTCTTGGCCTCCCTTCCAAATGCATGTCACCGTATGGATGTCCCCTACAGCCTCTTATAACTTGTCCACTCCTCCCTTATTACTCCCGGCTCTGAATAGCACGTTTACCGAGGCTTTGCTCTGTCTTCAGGACGGTGCCAGAAATAAGAAAGCGTAAAATACCATCTCCACACGCATCTNCTCTCCAAATCTTCTTGGCCTCCCATCCAAAGGCATGTCACCGTATGGATGTCCCCCATACAGCCTCTTATAACTTGTCCACTCCTCCCTTATTACTCCTGTCTCTGAACAGCACGTTTACCCAGGCTTTGCTCTGCCTTCGGGACGGTGCCAGAAATAAGAAAGCGTAAAATACCATCTCCACACGCATCTGCTTGTCTTTCCGTTGAGGAGACAAGACTAGTACAAAATGGCAGAGAAGAGGCAAGAACTAAAGATAAAAAACTAAATTGTATGGGGTCGAGTTGAGTATCAGAGGTGGAGAGAAGGCGAGGCAGAGAACAGCCCAAGAGGCCAGGGGGGGTTCGTGGCGGAGGTGAGGGGACAAGAAATGGACTTGGAAGGAGAACTGGGATTTGGGTGGATGTCCAAGGAAAAGGGGATGGGGGAGAAAAGAAGAGTGGCAGGCCTTTAGTGTCTGATGTGAATTACTCAGGCTTCTCTCAGTGTTTCATCAGCAGGCCTAGAGCTGCTTAGACTCTTCCCCCACGGGGTCTCCAAAAATCACAGTCCCTCTTCTGTCCCTTCGCAGTGTGTGGAGGGTCCCTCTCGGGGCTGAACGGGAGCTTCAGCTATAAGAGCCCTGAGGCTGGTTATGTTCATGACGTTAACTGCTTCTGGGTCGTCCGAACTGAAGAGAGAAAGGTAAATGTGGTGTCTCCTGTCCAACATAGGTTTCATTTACGTAGATGCATATGGAATATGCATGGAATATACAGCGATAATTTATCAATCATATATTGAGGATTTACGAAATGTCAGGCTTTGGGCTAGGCAATTTAAGTACCTTTCTCTAACCTTACAGTAACTCTGTGAAAATAAGGAATAGTATCCTCATTTTATAGATGAGATAATGGAAACTAAGAGAAGCTAACTAATATTTTTTAAAACACCCCTTAGCTGGTAATTGGACTAGCTGGATTGCAGTCAGGTTTGTGGGTTTCCAAAGTCCATGCTTTGTCCAGGATGGATGATTCTTCACATGGCTGGCCAGCTGCAAGTTAGTGATTCGTAAAGGCCTGTTCTTTTTCTTTTTTTAAAAATATATCTTTATTGATTTCATGGAGAAGGAGAGAGAGAGTTAGAAACATCAATGATAAGAGAGTCATTGATCGAGCCAGCAACCCGGGCATGTGCCCTGACCGGGAATCGAACCCCGATCGCCTGGATGCCAGGTCAACGCTCAACCGCTGAGCCATACCCGGCCGGGCTGTGAAGGCCTGTTCTTACTGAGACTGGAGCGTTTGAAGATGGTCACTCAGTAATGTTGATTATTATATAAAAATGGAAACTGTTAAGATGATTTTATCAGTGTCTCCTCAAAGCATGTGCCAGTGTTTGGTGCTAATTGTTCCACAGATTATAACATTGTATTATAACTCTCATAACTCCAAAAGAATGATCTATATAGCCTCATTTTGCACATAAAGAAATGGAGCCTAGAGGAGCTGAGAAAGTGGTCCAGGGGCATGTGGTTTATAAGTGGCATGCAGCCCCTCGAACCCAGGCCATTCAATGACAATGAATCTGAAACTGAACCACTACATGAACAATCTTCAACTTCAGATCTGAACCTGAAATTTTTAGTGCTTTTATTCCCAATGTTTATTATTCAGTTTTTCCAAATATCTATTTTTCAACCAGTTCTTTGGCTCATTGAAATAATGTACTTCTGAATAGATGAGGTTTTCCCTTAAAAATCCTATAAGTTTTTCCAGCAATATTACAGAAGTCATTGTACAAGGTCAGAAAACGTTTTTTTTCTCTTGAGGAGGGTGGACTCTGTGGGGCCTGGTAACCCACAATAGAATAAATTCCAAAATCAGTTTCCCAGTGAGTATGTGATATGAATTTCCTTCCTTCCATTTAGTTTTCATGAATTCTATTTCCTGACATTGAAAAGAATTTTCTTTCAAAAAAAATTATTTTGTGAAAATTTTTGATACTTTTATTATCAATTTGTAAGAAAATGTATGCTGTTTTCTTGATTATTGGGATTCTATATCTTTTTGCCTCCCAACACAATTTACATAAAATAGTGGAAAATTACATACAAATCATGAACATTTGTTTTATTTTTATTGAAGTTGCTTCAAGGGCAAACATGATTTAATGTTGGGTAACAGATCTTAAAAATACCTTAGCATAGAATTTCAAAAATATCCTGATATCCTCTCTCACTATTTGAATGCTGTTGTGGTTTTAGATCATAAAGGAAATTAGATTCCACAGCCTTCTTTTGGTTGTTTTAAATGAGGTTGTCAGTAAGTAATATTTTATATATAATTAACTCTATTACTATATTTTTCTGTATATTCTAACNCTTGACTGTTTTAAATGAGGTTGTCAGTAAGTAATATTTTATATATAATTAATTCTATTACTATATTTTCCTGTATATTCTAACATTTTAACTTGGAGACACACGTTTGTGTTTATTGTCTCCTACTTGTGTGCTCAGAACTCTTCATATTACCTTTGCCCATTCTCTGCGCTCATGATGTGCACCCACTGAAGACTTGCAGACTTTACACATGCCCACCCCATGCCTGCTCAGTCTACACCCGCCGTGTCAGGCTGGGCTGGGCGTCGGTACCTTGTTGAAAGGTTCAGAGACCCGCAAGGAGTCGGCATCTCTGGGGTCAGTGATGAGCATCGGTGTGTGAGCTACAGGTTATTTGGGTGATCAAGGTACAGATTCTTGTGAATGGTGATATTAGTTAAATTGAATTCAAGGTAGATTTCTCAAATATCTAATGTATTTTACTGATGCATTTGTTCAATGGACTAAATAGTGAATGAAACCTAGGTAAATCTATTTCGTTTACCCATTGAATAACAACTTAAGGAATATAAAGTTTCGGTTATGCTAGATAAATAAATTCTAGAGATCTGCTGTACAGCATGGTGCCTATGGTTAACAATACGGTATTTTGTACCTCAAAATTTGTTAAAAGGATAGATTATGCTTTTACCATAAAAAGGAGAGAGGGAGAAAGGGAGGTAGAGGGAGAGAGAGAGAGAAGGAAACTCTGGGAGGTGTTGGATATGTTTATTACATTGATTGTTGTGATGGTATCACAGGTACTTACATTATGAATTTTACAGATTAAATATGTGCAGTTCTTTGGGTATCAATTATACTTCAGTAAAGCTGTAAAATCTATTTAACATTAAGATTTTTGGCATAGTTGGTTACATATCTGGGGGAAAAATAGACAGGACTTTACCTTACACTAAAGGAAAAAAAAAAAGATTTTTGATATATGTTGATATTAGTTGAAGTGTAGGCCGTTTTTAACACAAGTCATTTAACAAGTAGAATTTTCATATGTATTTGTGGATAATTAGGAAATTTTAGATCTAGCTCTTAAAAATGACACTATAAATGTTTCCTAATTAGTGGGAGACATATTTAGAGTTAATGTGGGAATGGAAATAATATCTTGTGACCTTTATATTTTTAGGTGCTGCGTATCACCTTCACTTTTTTCCAGTTAGAATCAGTGAACAATTGTCCACATGAGTTTCTTCAGATTCATGACGGAGATTCCTCTGCAGCATTTCAACTGGGCAGATTCTGTGGCCCCAGCACCCCTCCTGAACTCCTCAGCAGCGACAACGCTCTCTATTTTCATTTCTACTCTGAACACTTAAGAAGCGAGAGAGGCTTTACAGTGAGATGGGAAACACAGCAGCCAGGTAAGTGTAAACGTGGAGGAAAATAAAACAAAACCTTGAGGTTCCTAAAGTTTTTTGATCAATATTTACCCTTTTGGATACATTAGATATTTGGAGATCCAGTGTTATATAATATTTTTATAATTATGTGTATATCAAGTGAATCTACAATGAATTTGTATTTGATTTTTGTGTTCAGAGATAATAAAATGTGGATAAAGTGGAAGAGATTAAAAACACGAGTCTTAATGGGTCCCTTAAGAAATTACTGAACAGCATTTTTATAAGCTCAGCTAATAGATTACTGCAGGGATGTTACTGAGGACACTGACCACTCCTTTTCTAAGTATTCCTCATCTTAATGACTATTTGGTAATTTTTTGGTGTATTTTTGTTTTGGTGGTTTATATTTTTTAAAAATTTACTATGAAATTTTTAAACATATAAAAATAGGGAGAAAAAAAAACAGTATACCAAAACTCCAATTCATTTATCAATAAATCTGTGGAACTATTTCTGGAATTTCTCTCTTTTTTTTTCCTGTTGGTCTGTTTATCTATCTTGTACCACATTGGCTTAATTAGTGAAGCTTGAAGCCTGGTTGTGTAAATCCTCTAACTTTGTTCCTTTAAAATGAGCTAGGTTCTTTACATTTCCATATAAATGTTCGCATCAACTTGTTAATTTCTCCCAACAATCTGCTGGGATTTTGTTGGCATTTCATTGAATCTGTAATCATTTTGGAAAGAAATGACTTCTTAAAAATTCAGACCCTATCAATTCATGAACTTGGACTATATATTTATTTAGTTCTCTCTTAATTTGCCTTAGCAATGTTTTATGATTTCAGTGTTTACTTATTTCACATCTTTTGTTATTTTTTCTAGGTATTTGATATTTTATGGTATGTTAAATGATATTATTTTTCTAAGATTTCATTTTCTATTTGTGGTTAGTATATTTTTATCTTCCTTATTATGAATGAGGCTGAACATCTTTTCAAATGTATTTTAAAGAGCATTTACATTTTTCAGTGAACTCTGTTTATATCTCTGTTTTTGTAGAAGTTCTTCATATATTAGGAATATTAATTCCTTGTATTATATATTGTATTTTTCCCAGTTTGCCATTAACATTTCACTTTGCTTATGGTATTTTAATTTTTTTTACCCATATGATAGTTTTTTAGGTACTAAGTTTTGGAAAAGTCTATTCCTCTGAGCAACAGATGTTTTCTCATTAGAAATAGTGAGAATCATGTAACTAATTTGTTCCACTGTTTGCCTTGGAAGCAAAATTTTTGTCTGAATAACCTGCATACCTATGTAAATCTCATATCTTGCATATCTCAAGTATCATCTTATTTTATTTTTTTCTAAGTTATATTTATAACAGTCTAGATTTTTATTTAGTGTTTTTATTTTTTTTATTTTGCAGCAGCACTTCTCATAAGCCACCACAGGTTTTCTGTCAAATAAATGTGGGTATTAATAAAGAACATATTCTTCCAGTCATTAATAAGCAATTTACTGGGCTGGTGGGGTTTAATACAGCTGGCAGTGAAGTGAAAACCTGGCCCAGTCCTTCACTCGTCCATCCCTGGGCAAGTGGCTCAACCACTGTAGACATTTGAATTTCCTCACTTATAAAATGAATAGTTTAACTATATCATAATGCTAATAAACCTCAAATGAAAATTATGTAGTGCTTAACTATTCTAACATATAAAACTATGTAGTGCTTAACTATTCTAACATATAAAATGATCTCGTTTGTAGAAAGACATAGGGACTGACAGAATTTCCAGAATTTAAAGAGTTAATGTACAGATGGGTCTCCCTCAAAACAGTGAGAACAGTGAATCTATCATCCTATTATTTGTCCCTCAAGAAGTTCAGCACTGTCTTATTTTTATTTTAAATTTATCTTTATTGTTGAAAGTATTACAGATGTCCCCCTTTTTCCCTTATTGATTCTCTTCACCCCTCATCCACTCCCCACCCAGGCCTTCCCCATACCAATGTCTGTGTCCATAGGTTATGCATATAAGCATACAAGTTTTTTGATTAATCTCTCCCCACCCACTCCCTTACCCCCACCTTCCCTCTGAGATCCCTCAGTTTGTTCCATGCTTCTGTGTCTCTGTATCTATTTTGTTCATCAGTTTATTTTGTTTATTATATTCCACATATGAGTGTGATCATGTAATGACCTTTCTCTGTGCTTTAAATCATATAACCACATGATGGCCGGTAAGTGTAAAGCTCAATGCATGGGTGATTTATTTATTTATCAATCAGTATTTCCAGGTCTATAACTTTATCAAGCTGGAAAACAGAAAGTCTTGTTTCATTTATGGGGTGTAACCAAAACTACACATAGTTACTGAAGTGAAGCTGGGCTTCCCACGGCTATGATAATTCTCCATGAATTATAACTTGTACACTAATGTAGTTATCTTTTCTCCTTATTTAGAGTGTGGAGGTATACTGACTGGTACCTATGGTTCTATTATGTCCCCGGGATATCCTGGAAACTATCCCCCAGGAAGAGATTGTGTCTGGAGAGTTATAACCAGTCCCGGCCTTCAGATAACATTTACTTTTGGGACCTTGAGCCTGGAGCAGCATGATGATTGCAGCAAAGATTATCTAGAGGTAACCAATTGTGTTTAGATAGAACTTACTATGATATGATTAGAACTCAGGGAACTAAGGCGTGGTGACACTCGTGGATGACCACAATTTGTTAGCAATAGTTGGATGTATTCTTCAATAGGCAGCCAATGTCTAAATCTTGCTAAATTCTTATTCTTGATTGTGCCAGATTGCTTCTTCTTCTGATTCCCACCTGAATCTGTAAAGAGATTGCCTTGCTTGTCTCTGTCATTTCCTAGAAGCCCATTGCCCCTAGGAACAGCAGAATTAATGAAATCATCACTAAGTGATGGCTATCTTCTCCAGTGCAGATTCAAATTTTCAGTTGTTTGTGGTAAACCTCGAAGTTATTTCACAAATTGACCACAGTGTTCCATGAAGAAAATTAATAGCAATTGTGTTGAAATGAATTGATAAAGGATGAGCCTTGTCGGAACGTATTGAATAATTGTCATTGGCAAGAGTGGAGTCAGCCTGTGTCCTTCCTGCTTACCATTAGTAAAAGATTAATATATGTAAAAGAAAAAACTGTTATAGTCAAATGCCATATGCTTATAGGTATATAAAAATATGTGCTCTCCACTGCAGACTGAAAGGTCCTTGAGAAGATTCAGTTGTTTTGTTGTTCTTGTCTTTTCACCATATATCCCAGTACCCCTTGCAGCAGTGATACAAGACAATATGCTTTTCCAAGTCCATTGCAGAAAAATGTAAAGCTGTGGAATTATTCACACAGGGTAGAAGGGCGTGGGTGTCAAACAGGGGGCTCCACAGGTTAACGCCATTAATTTGAATCCTTTGGGAATGACTGGAACATCTACCTCTCCCTGGAAAATTTCACCAAGGTAATCTTTTGCATGTTGACATTAAAGTGAACTTTCTTGAAATTAATTTTCAATAAATTCCATCAAATTAAAATTGGAAGCATTTTTTTCACTTCTGCATGTTAACTCAGATACACATATAGTATAATAGAAAGTATTGATTACTCTGACAGAATTTAAATGCCTCTCATTTCTCAACAAGCTGTGTTTTGAAGAGTAAGTTAAATACAGGAATAAAGTAATGCTGCCCTATAACTTTGCAGACAATAGTAAAAGTAATCTGAATGGACAAAATTGGTCCTTTGTTGCCTTGGTGTTCTATGTAGTACAGAATTTGCAATTACAACTCAATTATAGAGAAGTTAACATGATATTTATAGATTAAAAACCAACAGTTAAAATACTATTTGATTTCTAAGGTCACATAGTCATTGTTGTGGTATTTAATTACTATTAAAGTTGCACTTTTTAAATTTCACTAATCCATCTTTCTGTTGCGTGTAATCTGATTTCACTTCCTTTCCACCTCTGATCTTCCCAGGTACCTGGTCCAAGCTGTGAATTGATTGATGTCACTGGCATTCCGTCTCCTGTTTTCTTTGCATATATTCATTTTCTCCTTCTAAATTACTAGGGTCTCATCATTTCCAAAAACAATAGCTGGGGAGAAAACCTCAGAAAGGAAACGTTGGGATTGGTAACATCAAGAGAAAAATTCAAAGTATATGTCCAACCTCTGAATTGAAATTGAGACAGAAGATAAGGCATCGGGGACGATGGGAGTAGGAAACTGCCCTTTACTGAGCCCCGAGCTTGTGTCAGATATATTTGTGAATGGAAAAACCCCGAGTGATTACTTTTAAATGATGGGTTTTCTGAAATTAATGTACAAAATCATTCGGTTTGTTAAAACCTGACCATTAGAGCTTTAAAATCTGACCATTAGAACATTTAGTTTTGTTGTTGTTTTAGATCCGAGATGGTCCTTTGAGCCAGGATCCTGTTCTTGGGAAATTCTGCTCCACTCTGTCTGTCCCACCGCTCCACACGACAGGTCCCTTTGCCAGAGTTCATTTTCACTCAGACAACCAGGTGAATGGCCAAGGCTTCCATATCACCTACTTAACATCACCTGGTAAGTAACCTGATAATTGGGAACTTAATGTGAATGTGAACATTTCTGTCATAGTTCCAGGTTTGTTCTTTATCTTCTCAACTTTCTATTATTAATGCTACAATACCCCTCTATTCCTAAATTATGGGATGCATATATTGGTAACTATGTGTGAGGCACCTAAAATTAAATAATTTACACTTTAATTCCCTAGTTATTATTCAGTGTTTCGTTGGGAGGGATGTTGTTCATGAGAGAAATGCAGTCTATCTTGAAATAGGACAGGTTTTATACCTAGTATGCCTTTCATTTGCATTGATGCCTTAAAACAAAGCAACAAGCCCATGAAAAACAATGAAACGTCCTCTATTTTTATTTTAGGGCTGTAGAGAACTTTGTTCTTAACCTACATCATTGTGCCTTGATGAGAAGTCACAAGAAAAACATTGTTTAGGTCTCGATATCAGGAAACTAGCATCTTTTTGTTGTTGTTGTTAATCCTCACTAGAGGATATGTTTTCCACTGATTTTCTAGAGAGAGGGGAAGGGAGGGAAGGAGGAAGAGAGAGAGAGAGAGAGAGAGAGGCATCAATGTGAGAGAAACACATCAATTGGTTGCCTCCCACAAGCGCCCCTACCCGGGCCTGGGATCGAAGCTGCAACCCAGCTACACGCCCTTGATCTGGAATTGAACCCTCGATCCTTCAGCGTGAGAGCTGATGCTCCAACCACTGAGCCACACCGGCCAGGGCTAACAATGAACATCTTTTTACTGGTCCCCCTTTTCTATTTACTGCGTCCTCAGGCTGAGTCTGCAGCTGTCCATACCTGATTTCTGTGCCTATCAACTTTCCCCTGACCACATGCTGCTGTTCTGTTCCTTTAACCTGATTCATTTTTCTAGTTATATATTTTATGTTGTCTCATGCATTTTATAAACTGCCTCAGATCTTTTTGGAATGGAGGAGATTATAAAATGCATTTAAAAAGAAATTTGTAGAAGAGAATGTTAGGCTGGGATTTAGATCACACATCTCTACATGTATTTCTTTAGGCCCCACAAGGTCGTCCCACAAGCACATGTCAAACTGGAAATTGTATAATCAGATGAGGGATATAAGTATATAAACCTGTACAGGGTGAATAAAGCGGGTGCATGATTGCCTGTGTGTGTGTATAAGTTTTTGCAAGTTGCCCCCAAAGCCGGGGAGCCGGAGGAATAGCCATCCACGTGACCTTTCCCTTCTCCCTTCTCCCTTCTCTTCAGCGGATCCGCCCTGTGGAGGGAACTTCACAGACCCAGAGGGTGAGCTCTCCCTTGCCTTGTCGGGGCCTTTCCCTCACAGCAAACATTGCATCTATATCATCAAGCAGCCCCTGGGAGAGCAAATACAGCTCAACTTCACCCACGTGGAGCTGGAAGGCCAGAGCGGCTGTTCTCCGAGTTACATCGAGGTAACTTTTACTACTTGGCGGCCCTTAGATGATGCTTTTCAATATTTTTACATTCTGTAGAGCTGTGGTGTTCAAATGGCTGTTGGGCCAGCAGCATCCAGATGACCTGGATGCTAGGAAAGCAATTCTATGCCCTATTTCAGACAGACTGAGTCAGAACCTCGAGGGGCGGGCCCGCCATCTGCCTTTTAGCAGGCCTTCCATGGAATTCCATGCAGGCTAGATCTGAGAACAACTGCTCTAGAGAGTATGGGAGGATTTGCCAGAAACAGATCTATGGATGGTAAAACAGGAGATTGGTGATGGGATGGCAAAGGGTAAAAATGAAAGTTGAGACTAGAAACTCATGAAGATGCCAAATTACAAGTTATTAAGTGGAGCTCCAGTAATGAAGGTGACTGCAAATAGGTAAGAATGATCGGGTTTACGAATGGGAGACAGATTCCAGAGGTGCTCCAGGGTGCTTTTCTATGCGAGGGAACTCGACTCAGAGAAGTAAAAAGATCTGCCCCTGTGAGCTAGCTAGTCAGTGGCAGACAGGTAAGTTAAAGCATTGAAAAACTCTTGTTTGAAAGTTTAGATTTTTTTCATTAGTTCTGCTTACTCTCCTTCAGAAAACCTTCATTCTGATTTAAGTGTGTGTAATAACTGTAACAAGACTATCTGAAACGAAAAGGCGGTTTTTGTTTGCCTGGCCTGGTATTTCTTTTGCTTAATTATTGGTCAAGCCACAAATTAAAGTGCTGAGCAAATAAAACAAAACACTTTTTGTTGAGCGCAGTAATTTTATGTAAGCCCAGAGAGGCATTGACAATTTTGTTTGCTCATGTAAGCTAGACCAATTCATTTTTCTAGGAAAAACCTGTATAACCTTTTGCTCTCTTTTCTCCTTCATGTGTAGAGAAAGGAAATGTAAGGTTTTAGCATAAGATATGGACTTAGCTGAAGGATGAAGTGCATTGATGATGGCGCCATAGCAATATATATATATATATATGTGTGTGTGTGTGTGTGTGTGTGTGTGTGTATATATTTTAAAATATGTCTTTATTGATTTCAGAGAGAGGAAAGGAGAGGGAGAGAGAGAGAGAGAGAGAAACATCAATGATGAGAGAGTCATTGATCGGCTGCCTCCCGCACGCCCCCGACTGGGGACAGAGCCCGAAACCCGGGCATGTGCCCGACTGGGGATCGAACCCCGATCTCTTAGATCCTAGTTGATGTTCAACCTCTGAAACACGCCGGGCCAGACCACAACAATATCTTTTAATCCAGAGATTTTTTATCGCAGATTGTGACGTGGATGTGCATATTCATTCAATTTATGTTTTTTAAAGTCTCTTATAAAGTACATTAAAGTCTGACGCTGTGGAGCAATTTTAGATATTTTTACTTAAATGAAAGTTAAATTTTCAACATTATTTTTTTATATATATATATTTGAGAACAGTAAAAGTGGCTCACACTTAGAGAGCACTTACTATGCACCAGGTGCTATTTAAGACTTTAAAATAGTGTAATAAATTAAGTAGATAACTACTACCATCTTCTTACTGCCTGTCAGAAATGGTGTGTGCTTTACATGATCTAATTCATTGAATCTTCACAACGACCATTATTTCTATTTTGGTGATAGGAAATGGAGGCTCAGAGATGTTACTTGCCCATGGTTCCATGTCTGGGGAGTGGTGGGACTGGGAACTGGGATCTAATAGTTCCAGTTGTATTGTCCTCTGATAAGAACAGAAATGCAATAGTGTAACTCTGACTACAAGAGGTGGCTCCCCTCCCCTAGAGAGGAGCTCTTGTGACTTTCCCAATTTCATGACTGGCTCCCTGGTCACAGGACTGTAACACGGAACTAGCAACAATGCTTTACTCAGGCAGGCAAACGTGTAACTCGGATGTTCAGGGAAATCTGAGTGCCTTTCTATTAGATTCTTTATATGATTCTAATGGCTTTCAGGAGTCATCAGAGCATCTGGAATGATATACCATCCCTGGCTTAGCAGTACACTTTCACTGAATTTCATTAAGGAGCTACATGAACTCTTAATTGTTCTGAAAAGGTATCAGGAAAAAAAATCATGAAAGATTAAACTTTGTAAAACAGAATGGCAGAATGTTTTGTAACCAGAAAGGAATTAAAGTTAATTCATCTAAGTTCTTATTTTAGTAGTCATTTGATGACTGTACAACCTTGGACAATTCTTTATCTGAATGCTTCAGATCCAGGGTAAGTTGCCCTACCTATGTCTCCAACCCTTGTGAGCATATATCAAGGAGATGAATGGTAAAAGAAGCTTAACGAATTAAAAGCATTATACAAATGCAAGGGTTTCCCAGGGCAAATTTCCAGCTCTGGCCTTAAATTTATCAGTTCAGAGACAGCCGATGAGACTTTCATGGTTGGCCATTAAAGTATTTACATTCTGATGTACACACATACCCAGTGTTGACCAAATTTTCCTCAAGGGTTTTTGGTGGAAAAAATAAAAGAACTCTATTATTAGAAGGACAGGTCATGTATCATAATTTAAATAATCGAATGGACTTTTTTTATTATATCCTTGACCGCTCATCTTAAGGGAATACAGCCAATTGACTTATAGAACTTTACTACATCAAGTACCTCAAAGGTCATCTAATCTAAATCTTTAACTTTACAATGAGGAAATTGGGGTCACAAAGCTCAAACTCTAGTTACCGTCACGATAGGATTTAGACGTGCCTACCTGGGATTCTCGGTAGGCATATATTGACTTAGGTCAAAGTTCTTGACATTAAGTCATATCTACCTATTGAAAAATGTGTGAACTAAGCCCATTAAAAAAAAAAATACATCCACTTATTTTCACGTTTTTCAGACAGTGGGCATGAAAGAAAGTCATGCTAGAACCAAATACAAATGACGCTAATGGGACTCAATGTATTGTTCCCCAAAAGGTTGGTTTCATTTTTAACAGGTATACTTAAAAAGTGAAATGTTTAGCAAAGGAATTAAAAAAAGTATAATGGTATTTCAGATATATTGGTGACTTGGAGGGGAGTTGACTGCCATTTACTAACAATTCATGAGAGAGAGAATACCGTGGAAACTTTGGGAAGAATGGAGAACAGAGAGGGGTTCTGGAGATATGTGGGGGGATGGTAACAGGGAATTTTCTTTGAGCGTGGCTAGACACACTTCTAAAAGTCCCAGATCTTTTTGTCATGTGGTCCAGATGTCTTGTTACCACGTGAATATACCCTTAAAATGAAGACTAGAATACCGTAGCCTAGTGTATCTCTTTCATGTGTGGTTTGACAGATTTACTTTTTGCTCAGTAAGAGAGCTCCATAACAATTTGAGAATAAAATTTAACTACAAGAGATAATAAATGTGGTTTTGCCCAGGCCCATACCTCTCCTCTCCTCTCCTCTCCTCTCCTCTCCTCTCCTCTCCTCCTCTTTTTTCTTTTCTTTCTTTTCTAACAAGAAGCACACAATTATGTATTAACCCTTGGATTTAATATAGCTCTTTCAACTAAACTTTCTACTGCTAAAATCACACAATGACTGTGGGTGGTGTGGTGTGAGCAGAGCAAGGACAGATCAACTGTTAGTTATCTGTTTTTGTCCAAGAGAGCTTTTGAATTGTGTAGAACAGTTCAATGCATGTGACAGAAGCATCTTTCCAGAATGAAAAGTAGTCCCTCCCATTAATATTTCATAAGCCATCAGAACTCTGAGTGAAAGATACATAAGGTAGTAATGAAAGTTTAATTTTCAACCCCAGAGAATGCAAGTAGTAGGCTGAATAATCATTTCAGCCTGAAATGAGATGTGGAAGGAAATGAATAAAACTGTTCACCCCACCAAATCTCTTTGACTAATCCCATATAAAGTGCCTCCTAGCCGCCAAGACTTTGGGGAAGCAGAAAGGGAGCACTGCAAGAAAGACCGATAGGGGAAGGGGGAGGGAGAGGGGGAGCAGTGCCTTCTGGGGAAACAGGAGGACTTCGAGGAAGTGGTTCTTTCTTAGAAATGGAAAGCAAACAAAAATAAATGGTATAGAAAAGTTGAAAACTGTAATTAATAACACAGGCAGAAGTTACATTACATTTGATTTCTGAAATCTAAGGAATGTGTACCTATTCTACAAGTGTCATTAAATGACAAATTAATCATATTTTAACATTTTGTCAATCCTAGAAAATTCACAAAGCAGAAATTGTACATGTATCTTTTTAATGCAATGCAACTAGAACTAATAATTTTTTTTTTTTTAATGATCAGCTATTTGCAAATCTATAAACTCTCTCCTAAACAATCGCTGGGTTAAAGAAGGAAGTAGAACATGAAATAACAGGCAATATAAAAAACAAAAGAGATAAAATGCTATGTATTAAAACCTGTGAGACATGATGAAACTCAACTTCCAAGTAAACTCTTTAAGATTTTAAATTAGGAGCCCAAAGTTGGGAGAGTGGGAGAGTAGGACAAGCTGGAACATGGAAGATTTCTCTTCCCTCCGGACCTTTTATCATCTCCCTCTCTCCTTCCCTCTCCTCCCCACCTGACTACTCCCAGCTGGCCCCCACAGCACTCCCAATCTCCATGTGTCTTTAGGGGGCCACTCATTTATAAAGGACTTCCTCTTGCTCTTTGTCAGGCCTTGAAGCTGTTCAGCGCTCCCCTTGGGATTGACTGAGGGAGGTCTCTGATTTTGGGTCTGCCTGAGTTGAATGTACTTGTTACCCTCAAGAGGGCACACTGGTCAGATTGTCATGGCTGTGATTCACAGGATAATTTGTAAGGATTATAAACCCAAATGACAGAAAGAGTAAGAATTTTCACAACTGAAGCTGGAATATAATGCAGCAAACACACAAGAGCAGGCTGAGGAGCACTGTTTTCCAAGTTAAGTACATATTGAAATTAATTTTAGTTCAGACAAACATCTTTCTAGAGATGCCCTCCCACAAAAGAAGAAATGGGGAGATATTCAATAGTTTGCG